AATATGCTCCTATCATCAGTTTTAACCGATAGTAATGAAAATTTTCCAAAATAAAACCCCTCCATCTCTTCTTTGCGCCAGTGCCTTCTCCCTTCCCCCTTTTCTCCTCTCCTCATTTCCTTCTCCTTCTTTCCTCTCCTTATTTACTTCCAGTTCAACACTTGCACTCTGCACTCTCCACCATTCGTAGTTTCTGCGTCTCATTGCTCTAAAGTGTTCTCGACCTCGATTTGTCATCGCCCAGAAGACTTCGTGTAATTTGATCGCAGGAAAGCTCTAGAACTCAAGTGGGTAGCTCAGCAATTGCTGCAGGTATTTTTCTAAGGTTTTGTATTACGTTCAATTTTGGGATTTTTTGTGCTTTATATAGTTCAATTTTGTTGAATTGGTTGCAGTGCAAGATTTAGGGTTTCAATTCAATTTTGTCCAATTTTCACATCTTGTATAAAAATTGAACACTGGAACTTACCTAGGAAATAATGTTACTGTTGTTAAACTTTGTGATGAATGTTTCTTCTTCGTCGGATTGTTTGTTCTTTTTTAATTTTTTTTAAATAATTTAAAATTAAGCTCTGCTAAGTTTCTTCTTCGTATGTGTTTTTTTGGTATCGAAAAGTAATAATTATGGCAGTTAAATTGGAGAACTTGATTTTATTGCTCCTTCCTAAGCAACCTAGCTAACCCATTTTTGTTTAACTGGAAAACCACTGTTATGGTATAAAGAATAGTGCTAGGAGATTCTTTGAGATATTTGGTCATGGCCAAGAAGAATAAGAACCAGGGAAGGGGATGGTACTATAGCAGTTCGTTTGGGCAGGCTGGTGAATGCTCCGGTAGCTCAGGAAGAATCGACGCAGAAATGATGCTCCTTTAGCAACAAATAATGTTCCTTGTTCAAAATCCATGATTATACCCAATATTTGCAGCTCATCCCTTAACTTATATATGTTGATACCATAATACTTGTCATCAATTAGAGGAAGATCAACAAAGAATGAGATTGACCCCCATTTGGAGCTAAAAAGAATTGATTCTCTAGGAGTCTTGAAACCATGTCGTGTTTTTAACCACTTCTCAAATGTCAACCACGTCAGTTCAAGGGATGATAAAAACATAGTTTGACTCAGTTCCCGGATGCAACCTAGCAGTGACATCATTGTTGAAGGAGCTAGGTTAGAAGAAGACAATAGGGAATTAAATTGGACAGCGATCATCTTAGAGGCTCCAGAATCATCAACTACAACTTCCAAGGCATTCAACTCCTTAACAAAATGTGTAATTGCATCTCCATAATACAGTGCGTCTATGGTAGGAACCTAGAAAGCAGTGAAGAAAGAACCCCATTGGGAACCAGGAAGAGTCATTTCTGAAGGGCTTTTAAAACCCAAATCTATGTTCATCCAAGGTTGACATTTAATCCTGTTAATTAAGCCAACTTGAAAGGGAAAGAAATGATTCAGAAAGTGGTTTTTTTTTATTAATATATTTTCTGTCGGTTTTATCAGACAAGAATGCTTTTATTTATTCATTATTAATAAATTCTCTGTTGGTTTTAGCCTACAGAGAATGCTCTTATTTATTCATTATTAATATATTCTCTGTTGGTTATATCCGACATAATTTATGTCGGTTTTAGAGTATTTTTTGTCGGAAAATTCATTTCTTGACACTGGCAATTCTGTCGCTTATTATATTCGCCATTGCATCTATTTTCTATCAGATTTTGCTTAAAATCTGATAGTAATATACGTTTCTTGTCGGTTATCATAACAACACTAATAAATGGTTTCGTAGTAGTGTAGAGGGACAAGAGATTATGTACCTTGACAATCTAAAGCTGCAAGTTCTTTTTTCATGGCTTAAGTCCATACTAAAGACTTTAGGCTGAACTATAGGTAGCAAGTTCGACTTTGGCAAGATCAACACCCCTATTTTCATGAATTGTAAAGACCAATGCACTCTTCTTAGATATACCACTCTTGGACCTTGTCTGCATTGGATGCAAATTAAGAGATGAAATTGATAGAATGATTTGTATTCTGTTGAGAATGAATTTATGAACCACAAGGATTGGGGAGGAAGAGGACTGAGATTCATGAGCAGTAATGGATGGGCTTCTGTTGATGCTTTAATACTAGATGTAGATAAAGGCATAGACATATATGTAGGACTAGACTCAACTCTGAATGGAATTATAGAATCAATACCATGTAACTGACACATAACCATTACACTGTGTTGATTTAGAATTAGTGATGTAGGCTGAATTGGTGAGGAAGACAATTTTGACAATAGTAGTGACTCTTGACTTACTAAAGTGGAATACGGAAACTCACTTTCATCAAATAACACATGTCTAGAAATGAATACTCTCCTCTTTGATATCTCATAACAAATATAACCTTTGTACTTAGATGCATAGCCTAAAAACACACTTTTTAATTATGGGTTGTAGCCTTGTACTGTTATTGTGTCTAAGGAAAGGAAACAAGAGCATCCAAACTCTCTGAGATAACTAATCACAGTAACAAAGTGAAATAATGATCAAATGGTAGACATAAGCTTGACAAGCAAAAGACAAAAAAGATTGAGGTAATAATGTTGTCTGTAAAAAGGTAATTATAGTTTCAATGAAATGTCTATGTTTCCTCTCAGCCAGCCCATTTTGTTCTAGTGTTTGAGGACATGACATGTGATGACCCATTTTGTTCAGATGGAACATATGAATAGCATGTATAAAGTGCATTCATAGGATAGGAGGATATCTGAACATAAGAAGCAACCCTACGATGAGGATTTCCACAAATGAAACAACCTTGAGAAGATGCATTGTTTCTGAGTCTGTAGGTATCAGCAAAATGGTTGTTCTTGCTATAGATTTGACAACCAGTATTAACAAGAGCATTTCTAAATCTGCAAGTATCAACAAGATAATTATACTTACCAAAAATTTGATAAGTTTGCATGAAAAAGTTAAATGACTGATTAAACTTGCCCTTGTTCTTGTTATTGAAAGATTTATAACCACTAGATGAAGAGTTACCACCAGATTTAGTAGTAAAATCATTTGTATTAGCAACCAATGCAGAAAGCATAGGATTAACAGAAACATTCTCAACCATAGCTTCCTCAACAAGTAACTGAGATGGAAGACTCTTCAAAGATATCACATTTTCACGACCTCTAATCATAGATCGAATAGTATTATATTCAGCGGGAAATCCATTCAAAGTGAGTATCACAATACCATCATCATAAAAAAATTACCCCAGCTGCAGACAGAAAATTCCTAGCTTCTTTAATTCTTTGCAAATAAACAATGATAGAATCATCACCCTTCTTAACAGTTTGAAGTTCAGATTTCATCTGAATAATGCTTGTTCGTGTGGCTGTGGTCAATTATTCCTTTCGAGGAATCCATAAGTCTTGAGAGCTAGTGCTGCCAATAGCACAACAGAGAGCTGCGGAAGATAAAGTTGTTGTAATCAACTACATCAAAGCACGGTCATGCATCATCCATATCTTGTATGCATCAGACTTAATTCTTATAGAAGAACCACCATAGTTGACCTCTGAATCACGAGAACTAGTGTTAAGAAATTGTGTAGGCACAGATTGAAGCCATCCACAAAGTTCACAATTGCTTGACCCTCAAGTAACAACTGCATCTGGAAATGCCATGGCAGATAATTGGAATCATTGGGCTTCAAAATTACAGAAGTCAAGATTGATGAAATCAGAGAAGTGATTAGAGATTAGACAATGTGTATTTGAGATGTTGTCACCATTATGATACAGAAAAACTCAAAATTTAAATTAGAAAATTGACTTGGGGCTTTTATTGAACACCTTGGGTGCAAGATACAACACAGGATTTGGTATACAAATCGAAGAGAGAAGGAGTTCTTGAAAGTAAATTTGAGGCGAAAAGAGAGACTAAGAGAGATCAAAGATGGAAGCAGAAGTCGTTGAACCAAGATCAAAACTTTGCCAATCTTTAAAACTTTTCCGGCAAAGATACCATGTAAACCAAAGTAAATTGGGGTTTTACAATATAGAGAGAGAGAGAGAGAGAGAGAGAGAGAGAGAGAGAGAGAGCTTTCTTGTGTATTACGAAATGATTGACTTTCATTGATCTTGAGTGAATGACACACAACCATTCTTATGTACTTATCTATGTTAGCTTACAAGCTAAGCTAACATTCTAACAGTTTGTATCTAACTTTCTAATCTATTGACACTTGTCAACATCTTAACAAAACGTTCTTATACTCCTAACAACAATGTGGTATTCCTCCTATACATTTTATCTGATTAAAAAGAATCATATACAATATAGGAGAAGGATTTATGTGACAGTGATATATCGTCATGGTGTCGTCTCATTCCTATGAAATAAAGACATGTAAGTTAGTGGGCACATGTTCTTATTTTATTGGCACAAAACGCCGCATGACGGTGTACTCGTTTAATGTTCTCTGAATATATGGGGTTGGGTTAGGCCATGTGACCTCCAACCGTGGGGTTTTGTTTGCTACCCGTACTCAAAAGTGAGTGGGACAACTAATCAAGTGTGGAGTTCTATTTCAAACGACATTGATACTATTTAAGGAGAGTTATTGCGTAATATACTCATTATATAAAAATATTCTTCTATGTGGGACAATTAATGTATCGTACCGACAGTTCTTCACAGGAAATCATTCATCATTATTATTCAGTTCACACACAAAGATGCCTTATCTAATCAAAAGATGGTTAAATCTAGAGATTCATTTACCATGCGGTTGGCATAAGCTCGAGCCCTCTTAAAAAGAAAGTGATGAAGCATTCTGCTCAGCTGTATGTAAGAGAGCTCCCATGCAGCAGTTACTAACTGATTATCTTCTCACTTTTTTGTGTGCGTATAAGTATATTATACACACATATGGTGCGTGTGTGTATAGAGACAAACATTAAATATATAAAGCATATATTGTACACATTGAAGTAAAACTTAGTAAAACTTCAAAACTGCCTTAGGGAATTAGAATTCGAATTGTAATCTCAATGTAAGAGATATTGAAAACTTGGCAGAGGAAAATAAACATCGTCTTGTTAACCAAATACAAGAAAGAAATCAACCTAGCATGCTTTGCCTCGCTTACGAGAAATACAAATAGGACAAGATATAGTTTCTTATGCACATTTGAAGCCCGCAGGGACATTCTTTGCACAACCATCAATGATCAAGCTCAAAGCAATGGGAAGGTTAAGGTTGATACCAAGGATGTTGGCTTTAATGGCAGTGCAGAGGCACACAGCAACTTCAAGGTCAACAAGGCCTTCAAGCAAAGCACAACAAGGGTGATCTGGTGGGTTCCCAACAACTGCCCCAACTACCCCATTAAGCAACTTGGCACAAACCCCCAATTTTAGGCTATCTCTCGGGCAGCTCTTTGAGGCAGCACTTGGAATTGGGTTTGGTTTAGGGTTTGTGATTGGCTGATGAGGCTGCTGAGGACAAGTGTAACAGCCACTTGCAAGGACACAAAAGAGAAAGTTGACAGAGAGGAATAGAGCCAGGGTTGAAGAACTTTTGGAATCCATCTCTCTGTATATATCTTCACTTAATTTATTTTGTGATAATGAAGATTGTCAAAGTGGTATTTATAGAGTGCAAATTAGAGTGATCGTACTATTGAACATATATATTGGAAATAATAATCAGTAATAAATTAACTACACATATACTCATGGTGGGAAAGCAGCATGTGAAGCATGGCTGGCATAGATTTTAGCTGCTAGCGCTCGAGATTCCACACCAAATTTGGGTGGTCTACAGTGCATGTTAAAATTTTATTACTTTAATGTACGATTAATTATTTTTGGTTATTTGGGTCACAAGATCACCAATTGCCTTCGTAGACACCCGTGAACATCAACCACTTCTTGTTCTTATATACATTTAATATTGATTTATTTGGTTAATTACATTCAAAGGACTAAATTATTTCTAAATTATATCCCCGGATCATTACATAGGCGGAGTGACCCTTACGTCTTCCTCATTTGATCACTTCCGTGCGAGTGTTTATGCATGTATCATGTATGCAAGCCCAATTCCTTGCAGAGAGGGAACCTAGCCCAATAAATCCCAACTGTATAATTTTTAAGTCTCAATTTAAATACATTCGTTCTAAAACTTATATAAATGAGAAATGATCTATTTTTCTGAAAAGAAAACCATAACCAATTATATAAAAATTTTAACATCTCTGAGTCGCCTTATTGTTAAAAAAAAAAAAAGAGGGTAATTGACAAAAAAACTACCTCAACTATGGGTCTTATGACACTATCATACATCATCTTTTAAAATTAACAATGTCATACCTCATCTTTAGAATTTGGTCCAATGTTATACCTTCCGTTAGCTTGGCGTGAATTTCTCAGTTAAATGCTGACGTGGCTTGATCCGAGGCCCACTTTGTCACATCCCGGCCCGGGTGGGACCATTTCCCGGGCCCGACTCCACTACCGTAGCACGATATTGTCCGCTTTGGGCTTACCATTCCCTCACGGTTTTGTTTTTGGGAACTCACGAGTAACTTCCCAGTGGGTCACCCATCATGGGATTGCTCTAGCCCCTTCTCGCTTAACTTCGGAGTTCCTACGGAACCCAAAGCCAATGAGCTCCCAAAAGGTCTCGTGCTAGGTAGGGATGAGAATATACATATAAGGATCACACCCCTGGGCGATGTGGGATATCACAATCCACCCCACTTAGGGGCCCAACGTCCTCGTCGGCACACACGCGACCAGGGTTAGGCTCTAATACCAAATTGTCTCATCCCGGCCCGGGTGGGACCACTTCCCGGGCCCAACTCCACTATCGTAGCACGATATTGTCCGTTTTGGGCTTACCATTCCCTCACGGTTTTGTTTTTGGGAACTCACGAGCAACTTCCCAGTAGGTCACCCATTATGGGATTGCTCTAGCCCCTTTCTTGCTTAACTTCGGAGTTCCTATGGAACCCAAAGCCAGTGAGCTCCCAAAAGGCCTCGTGCTAGGTAGGGATGAGAATATACATATAAGGATCACACCCCTGGGCGATGTGGGATATCACACACTTTCTATTAAAAAATTTAAAAAATATTATTAAAAACTAAAAAAAATCATTTAATATTTTTTTAATATTAAAATAATAAAGAAAAGTTATAAAAAAAAAAAAAAACCCCTCAGTTCGTCCCCTTCCCCCCCACCATTCTCTTTCTTCTTCCCCATCTTCGTCTTCTTCCTCCTACCTGCAACCCAGAAAAAAGAAGAAGAAAAATAAATAAATAAATAAAAAAAACCAATTTGTCTTCCCCCCGCACCCACCCTTTTCTCCCCCACCTGAGCCCAACCTGCAACCCAAAAAAGGAAAAAAAAAAAAAAAACCCATCTTTATCTTCCCCGACCACCCCTTCCTTTCTTCCCCCCTCACGTGTTCCCTAAACCCTCCACACCCACCCTCGCACCCACTACCTACAACCCAAAAGAAAAAATAAAATAAAATAACCCAGATCTCGTTGAGGTGGAATCGGGAAACCTTCGCCAGGCCGATTTCTCGGGTGGAGAACCTGGGCGCAGAGAAAATGGATGTGAAGGGAAGAGGGTGGGTGCGAGGTTGGGTGCGGAGGGTGAAGGAAGATTTGTGAAAAACAAGTTCATTTGTGCAACATCAACAACATGCAATTAACAATTAAAAGGCGGAATCATGTTTATATGCACTCAAAAACAAAACTTAACCCATGAACTTCAAAGCCTAGTAGATAGGTGAACCAAGACTCAACTCAAAACAAAGTGAGTTGAGAAATCAATACCTTTGTAGATTCCTCTTTGCATAAGCAAAGGCTAATCACCCAAAGAGAGGGCCTTCATTCCTTGCATCTTAGATCCATGGATTTGGATGGATGAAAAGGTTTCTCCAAGTTCCCAAAATTGAGAACCTCTAAGTCTCCACACCAAGGCATATTGAAGAAGAAATGAGTGACCTAGAGGAAGTAAGATTGCTAGCTTTTCCCCTCTAGATTGGCCGGCCTCTTTTTAGAGCAAAGGGAGGTTTGTGTTCTCTTCTTTACTCCTAAGAAAACCCTAAGGATGAAATGGCTATAAAGATGTCTTTATACCACCTCACAATGGAGTGGCAAACTTGCAATTAAGCCAAGTTCACTACCCTCCTCTAAATGGCCGGCCTAAGGGGATTTATTGGGCTATTTGGGCCTTTGTGAATCATTATTCATTAAGTTGTCACACAACTTAAGTCAATGGACTTGACGTTCGAAGCCCATTGGGCCTTAAGGTCCAAAACTATCCCGAGGTCTTTTAACAAACTTATTCGTTTGATTAATAATCATATTAATTAATCCTTGCCATAAATAATTAAACCATTTAATTATTCTTACTCATCTCCGTTGAATCTTCAATCTCTACCTTACACGGTGTACGATCCATTAGGTTCCTTTTAGCGAGGCAGTGGGCGATTCAAACTCTTTCAAATCGATTGTGAATTGGAACTTACTTTCAATTCTCCCGTTAGTGATAATACACTTTTAGGACTTCCACAAACCATGGTTGACGCCTAGCAGCATGTCATGGTTACCCAAGCTAATCAAAAGAGGTGGAGAACCTATTCAGTTTTAGGATTACAAATGCAATACGGTCTTTCTCTAATACAATACTCTTGACCACATTGTTTGGTTTGATAGTTTATTCATGTCTACTATCCAATGTGAGTCTTGTGCTTATATGATTACCTTGAATGTGATTTGGAACACATTCCTAAATCTCATTCATACTTTGGCCAAAGATTCTTAATCATATCATAGAGTATTCTCCCTCAAACAGTTTGAAGGTTAGAGATCCCTTGTTGCGCATTCACTTGCCTCCATGGCTAAGTGGCTTAACCCCAACGATGTCGTGGACACCCTCCTGATGGAGTGACTTTGACATAATCAAAGATTAAGGACCTAACCACAAGACAACTGTGATGCCTCAGGTCAAAAGACTAATTTGCATTATCCCAACCATGAGTTCTCATGTGACATGAATATGAGAACTCTTTGTTGATCGTGTTCAGTGAACTCATTCTTTATTGAGCACCTACGTACTTGTCTTGATGTCACACACACCAATGACTCGAGACTAGTCACTCTCCCTGAGAGAAGACATAGCACGTACTGATCTTAACGGACTGTCAATGCCCAATTGACAATCCTATGATCAGGAACGTTTAGGATGTGTCAACGAAAGAATGGTCTCATGAATCTAACTTCTTTAGATCGCATTCTTCCAATCACATATTCCTTGGACTTATCGTTTAAGCATATAACATTTATATGAGACGGCTCAAACAATAATCTTTGCCCTTTACATTTAAACTACATTAGTTTAACTTTGTGAAATGTCCGTAAAGTATCATCATATGATTGGTTTTAGGGCACATTTCCAACAATCTCCCACTTGCAGTAGAGCCAATTAGCTTGGTTATCAGTGATGATACCTCTTCTGTAATTCATTTCATAAATGGCTGAGTAGTAGGCCTAAACAAGATGGATATCTATATGTTATCCATAGAAGCAACCTTGAGAATAACGACGTCACCATTATTCATGATTCCTAATCATGTGGTTCAGTCTTTCATTTGAGTTCGGACCTTGATGAGACCTTGATTCCCTGGCTTGAGCTATCGCCCCATTAGTGTCATACACTTTCTGGTTGGAACCGAATAGAGAGTTCATAAATGAACTTTCCCATCCAAACAACATTGTTGTAAACTTCTATATGGCAATATATTTTGCATTCATAATGGAACACACTAAAGTCATTACTTTAATGTTTCCATCCAAATATCTTTTTAGTCATAATAAAGAGATATCTGTTTATCTCTTCATTCATAATGAAGAAATATCCAATAATGGATTAGATTCATAATCTAATACATTTACGCTTCCATTACGTTACTCTAATTCTTTCTCAATTATTGAGTAATATATCCTTTAGTATTTCTCAAATACTTAAGGACTCACTTGACAGTTGCCATGGTTCTGATCCTGGGCTTGCACTGACAGTTGCCATGGTAATTTTGAGCACTTTCTGGGCAGTTTTGAGCACTTTGGTGAATCTGGACGAAATTGGGAAATAAAATGAATCAAAACACTTAAAAGCACAAACTAAATTGATTTCTAACTAAATTGGACATTAAAGTAAAGGGGGATTTAGATTTATACGAAAATTGAAATAACAAAACAAGTTAACAAACTAAACAGATTGTAAAACGAATTTGATGGAATGGAATGAATGGATGATAGAATGGCTAAGGGGTTCATCTCCATACATGTTATACTTGCATAATAAACGATTTCCAATTGCATTTCAACAAATCATTAATTCTCAACACCCCAAGTTAACCGTGATGCACTAATTAACCTTCAAATCTTCCTAACGTTATTGAATTGGATGATTGCATACGACAACCCAAAACATTCCCCACAAGTCCCCTATATGATTGCATAATAGAGATACAAGCAAGAATCATTACGCTCTATGAAAATTATAAGTGTTGACGGGGCATTCGTTA